TGGAAGCTTAGATCACTGATGTTTAACCTCTTCTCTCTCTTTTTTTTTAAGATTTTATTTATTTATTTGACAGAGAGAGAGAGAGACAGCAAGAGAGGGAACACAAGCAGGAGGAGTGGTAGAGGGAGAAGCAGGTTCTCCGCCGAGCAGGGAGCCTGATGTGGGGCTCGATCCCAGGACCCTGGGACCATGACCTGAGCCGAAGGCAGACGCTTAACGCCTGAGCCACCCAGGCGCCCCAACCTCTTTTCTCTTTAAAAATATGCACTTACAGCTATAAATTTCCCTCTAAGCACTGTTTTGATTGCACTTCAAAATTTGATGCCATGTTTTATTATGATTTACTTTAAAATATTCTATAATTTATTTTATAACATTTTATATTTTAGTTCTTTAATCAGGGTTGTTTAAAATGTGTGGCTTAATTTTGAAACATTCAAGGCCTTATAGTTATTCTTTTGTTGATATCTAGTTTAATTCCACTGTGCTCAAAATACATGTTCTGTATGATTTCAACCCTTGGAAAGGTGTTGAGTCTTGATTTTGGCCCAGCAAGTGGCCTATCTTGGTGAATGTTTTATGTGTATTTGAAGAAAGTGTGTATTTTCAGGATGTTGAGAACAGAGTGTAGAACCTACCTTTAGGATGTTCCTCTTTTGGGGTTTGGACTGAAAGCCTAGACTGTTTACTTACTCCCCTCCACTTTACTAAGCTTGAATTTCAGTCTTTATTGTCCCAGCACTGCGGAGCTGTTGAGATAACCACTCAGTTAAGTAGGACTTCAACTTCTGTTTCCTGCTGGATATTGTGACAACCTGCCCTATGTCAGGTTTCAAGATGATCCCAATGATGTCTGCCTCCTTGTAATCATATTCCTATATAATTCCCCTCTCCTTGAGTGTGGCCTGGACTTATTTTTTTTTAAGGTTTTATTTACTTATTTGACAGAGAGAGAGGGAGCACAAGTGGGGGGAGTGGAAAGAGAGAAGCAGGCTCCCCACTGAGCAGGGAGCCTGACACGGGGCTCGATCCCAGGACCCTGGAATCATGACCTGAGCCGAAGGCAGACGCTTAACTGGCTGAGCCATCCAGGTGCCCCTGGACTTATTGATTCGCCTCTAAAGAATAAAACAGGGAAGAAGTGGTGGGAGTATCACTTTTACTAGATCATAAAAACACTATAGCTTTCATGCCAATTCCTCTCTCTCTCTCTCTCTCTCTCTCTCTCTCACACACACACACACACACACACACACACACACACACACACATCACTCACCCTGCTGGAAACCTGATGCCATATTGTGAAGCAGCCCTGTGGAGAATCCCACAGAGTGAAAGATCAAGGTCTGCCAACAACCTTCTGAATGAATCCCCCTCCCTACCACTAAATTTATTAAATAAACCCACAGCCCCAGCTGATAGCTTGCCTGCAACCCTATGATAGACCTTGAGCCAATGACCTTATGCTGCACCTGGATTCCTGACCTAAACAAATGGTGAGATGATATTTGTTGTTTCAAGCCGTAAAGTTTTAACATAAATTATTATTCGGCAAGAGATAATTAACACAGGGAGAAATGGAAAAATAGAAAGAAGTAAATAGATTCAGGAATTTGGGGGGTTTGTTTTTGTTTCTGCTCTTGAGAACATGCTAACAAGACCTTCTAGATTGAGTTAAATTGGTGTAAGAAAAACTGAGAGATAAAGAACTACTCTTGGGGTTTTGGTTCAAACAGTTATATGAACAGTAATGCCTTAGACTAAGACTGAGAAATCTGAAGGGAATCAGCAACCATGTAGAAGTGCCAAGTAGCAGTTGGATATGCAGCTCTGGAGTTCTGAGCATTAAAGGCTGAAAATCAGATCTGGGGTGATAGTAGTATCAACCTCACTGGTTTTCAGTACTAGGTGAAAAGATTCAGATAAAACCCTTTGCACAGGGCACACAGTTGTTACCTGTAGTTGGTAAAATTTTGTCCCCTAGAAATATATGTCCAAGTCTTAGTCCCTGGTACCTGTGAATGTGACCTTGTTTGGAAATGTAAATGTACATTCTTTGCAGATGTAATTAGTTAGGATGAGGTCCTACAGATTAAAGTGGACCCTAATTCAATGACTAGTGTCCTTACAGAGAGAAAACAGAGATACAAAGATATACACAGAAAGAAGAATGCCATCTGAAGACAAAGACAGAGATGACAGTGATGCACTTACAAACCAAGAAATCAACATAAACCCACCAGAAGTTGGGAGAGAGGCATGGGATGTTTTCTCCCTCAGAGTCGCCAAGGAACCCACTTTGCCAACACCTTGATTTCTGACTTCTAATCTCGAGGATTTTGAGATAATAAATTTCTGTCTTTTCAAACCACCTGTTTTGTTGTAATTTGTTACAGCAACCCTAGGAAAATAATAGTGTCCAAATAAATGTGAAGTATGAGTTGTTATCATTGTTTCTATTATTATCATTCATATTGTGCCATTGTTGTTTTTGTTGTTATATATCCAAACACCTAACACATTGCTTTGTGCCTATTAGGAACTCAATTCATAATTATGGTAAAATAAAAATCTGGGATATCTGCAGACTGAAAAGAAGTAATGCACAGGGAAGGGTATCTGCACATATTCCAAAAGAATCTTGAAAGAATAGATTCTTTTCTCTGAAAACCCACCTGGCTTTGTAGAATCCCAGAATCAAGATTATATATCTCCTCTCTAACCTGACTCTTGTAATTTCCTGTCTCCTCATTTAGATCCAGCTCAAGTTCTGTCTTGCTGCAGTCTACCTAGAACAAACAATCCATGTGATAACAGGCTTCCCCAAACTCACACCCTGGCCCTTACTTACCTGTTAGTTATATACTACATTATTTGGATTATGATCTTATATACCTAAGTGATATTTGACCACAACTGATATGTTTCTCTCCTTGAATTTTTTAGATGATGTTTAAGAAAAGCATGGCCCATGCTTTTAAGATAAATGATCCAAAATATCTTTAGTTCATATTGGAAAAGTTCATTTCATATTTGAAAGGGGATTTTTGCTTCCATAACAAAGGCTTAGTTAAGTGATACTATAAATTCCTGAACATGATCTCTGGTTCATTTTCAGAGAGCAGATTTGGAGATGAAGAACATTCTAGGCTCAGAAGCATCTGGCAGCATTCTTGGAGAGTAGCACTTGGGAACAGCCTCTCCTGAGGGCTCAATCTGAGTTGTGTGGGCTAGTATTCAAGGCCTGGCGTACCTCAAGAGCACATGGCCATCCCAGTCCCACAGTGAAGAAAATATCATTGTTGGGCCCAAATGTGATTTTAGGGAAACTTGCCAAGACCTCCTTCTCTTCCTTTGCTTCCAATCCTAGTGTGCGATAAACCATCACTGGACATTAATTACTTTGGGAGACTTAATATTTTTTAAATGGAATGTTAGAAAAGAAATAAAAGTCCAGATGTTCCCAAACTTGGGGAAAAAATTAGTATCATCTGGAAGAATGCTTTAAAAACGTAGAGTCTTGGGCCCTTTTCCAAATCCACTGAGAATCAGAATCTCTGGGCCAGTGTGGGGCTGGGGGGAGAATTGCAATTTATATCTTTAGCAAGCTGCCCACCTGACTCTGATGTCACCTGCTTAGTACCTATCCTCAGAATATTTGAAAACTATAATTCTTTCCATATGCGAATGTGAAAACCAAGGCAAAGGGCTGTCAGGGTATGCCCTAGTCTTCCTTGTTTTTCAACAGCACCTTGAAAAATTGTTTTTTTTTTTTTACTTTTTTTTTTTTAAGAAAGGAGAGATAAAAATTTGATGGATAAAGAACTGTAAAACACGAAGTGAAAGTGAGCTTGAAGGTGAGACTACTAAAACAGAGATAAGAGGTGTCCACAGAGGCAACCTGTGGTTTGGGAGCAATAATCAGAGCAGGGCTGAGCTTCTCCAGATTAGAACAGTTCAAAGGTGGTTTGGTTTTGGTTCGTTCTTTACTAAAGCCCTGACGCCCTCTAGCAGGCAAGTGGAGAAATCCAGAGTCTCTAGTGAAGAGTGTTCTCTGCTTAGAACTGGGTTCTGGCTTTGGAATCCAGATTGTTTTGATTTCCCTTCATATGTTTTGGGTACCACATTTCTTTTTTTAACTAAGTATTTTACTATCTCCTCTGCTTGAAAGTCACATCCTCTCGATTTCTGTAAGTAAAGTTGTGGACTTCGCAGGAGAGAGAACAACCATGCTTAAGATACTTTTGTCTCAGTTTCGTTGGGGACAGTGAGGAAAATATTTCAAATTTCTTAAGTCCACCCTAAAAGGTGCAATTTACACTAGAGCAGTTGAACTGGCATTTAAATAAACTACAATTTGAGAATTAAAATGGTTTACACTGGTTCCCCGTGTCCAAAATAACTTAGAAGATTCCTTAGCATTTACTTCCTTTGGTCTGAAAAACACTTGTTAAAGAGTTCTGATTATAATATTATAATAGTAGTTAAAGGAAAGGGCTGGCGGTCCAAAAACAGCCTTATGGAATCCTCTATTCCAACTGAATCAAGGTAAAGAGAGTGCATGTGGGTAAACAATTTGTGGAAGAGCTTTGGCCTGAGGGCTGGACAGGCGATATCTAGTGTCTGTGAAATCAGCTCACCAATGATATAGTCTCTGCTTAGCTTCAGTTATCAGAATATACCAAAGGCAGAGGGCAACACTTGAACCCAGAGTTTTGCTATATGAGGACGCTTTGAAAATCCTGACAGTCACAGGCACCAAACCAAGTAAAGTGCTTAGATAATTAAAGAAGGAGAAGTGGAGCTTGTGTTTGTCTATACGGTTAAAGCCCATCATCTGACTTAGAGTCTGGGCATGAAGAGGTTGCTCATTGCTTTTAAAAACAAAAATGGGCAAGAGATCGTGAATTTTTAGAACCATCTTTCATCAAATGGGATCATTTCGAAGATAAAGTGGGAGTAAGGAAGAAAGAAAAAAATTTCTAATACCTGTAGTTATGTTTGGGAATAAGAAAGAAAAAGGGATCGCAAATCAAAGCCGACTCTTTCTCCAGCAACAGAGGAAACTAAAGGGGTACAACCATGTCCTGAAACTTGGAAATGGAAAAGGGGAATCAGCTAGTGGGCTCTGCCCCCTACCCACAGCTTCCTCCTCCCGGAGGCGGGCGTGGAGAAGTTCAGCACCTCGGAAAGCGCCCCCTCTACCCCCCCCCCCCCCCCCGCGCGGGGAATACGCATGCTCCCTGGGAGCCCGCAGCCAAGGCTTTGCGGGTACAACTATAACTCCGGTGGCCGCAGCTGATGACTCACTGGGAGCTGACAACAGCGGAGAGGTGAAGGCGCGAGGCAGCTGGGTAGACATCGAAAGACCTCCAGAGGGTCAGAGCGAGGTAGACGGAACTCTGCTGTCTCTCTTTTTCTCTCAAAGGACAGAAACCTAGTCCAAGCAGCAGCGGAGGGAACCGACAAAGGTATTTGAAAGAGAAGGAACGAGCCCCCAGTAGCGCTCCTGAGCGCAGGGTGGATATAAGCTAGTGCCCAACAAAGGCAGTGGGGAAACGTCTGAATCGTACGGCAAGGACCGGGAGACTCCGACCTTGGCCAGGGAACCCTTGGGCGCCCACCGTTCGCCTCAGAAGCTGCACTGCTCGGCTCTAGGACTCCCCTCCGGAACAGACGCCAAGCGCAACTCCAGCGTCCAAGGCTGTGTGCCCCGCGCGGGGAAAGCGTTTGGCACTCAGTTTCCAGGAACTATCTACAGCTGCGGCTTTGAAAGCTCCCACGGACGCCCTGCGCCCTTGCCGGGACAGAACCCCCAGAGAGTTGGACTGGCTTTGGTCTTGACTCCACTCCCCCCCACACACACACCCCGGAACATGACCTAGAAGCCCCTGCGCTTGCAGGTGGTCGCTGCCGCCACGACAGTCACCATGAATAAGGAGGCTGGAGGAGACGAGCTCGCAGAACTCTTCAGTCTGATCCCGTATCTTCTACAGGCGGCCAACACCAGCGGCAATGCGTCGCTGCAGCTCCAGGACTTGTGGTGGGAGCTGGGGCTAGAGTTGCCGGACGGCGCGGCGCCGGGGCATGCCCCGGGCACCGGCCGGGCCGAAAGTGCGGACACCGAGGCGCGGGTGCGGATCTTCATCAGCGTGGTGTACTGTGTGGTTTGCGCGTTGGGGCTGACCGGCAACCTGCTGGTGCTCTACCTGATGAAGAGTAAGCACGGATGGCGCAAGTCCTCCATCAACCTCTTTGTCACCAACCTGGCGCTGACAGACTTTCAATTCGTACTCACCCTGCCCTTCTGGGCGGTGGAAAACGCTCTCGACTTCAAATGGCCTTTCGGCAAGGCCATGTGTAAGATCGTATCCATAGTGACGTCCATGAACATGTACTCCAGCGTCTTCTTCCTCACCTCCATGAGCGTGGCGCGCTACCTGTCGGTGTCCTCTGCTCTTAAGAGGTACCGGACCCGAGGGCATGGCTGGGGCGACTGCTGCGGCCAAAGCCTGGGGGACAGCCGCTGCTTCTCAGCCAAAGCACTGTGCGTATTGATCTGGGCCTCCGCCGCGCTGGCCTCGTTACCCAACTCCATCTTCTCCACGACCTTCAAGGTGATGGGCGAGGAGCTGTGCCTGGTGCGCTTCCCCGACAAGTTGCTGGGCGGAGACAGACAGTTCTGGCTGGGCCTCTACCACTTGCAGAAGGTGCTGCTAGCCTTCCTGCTTCCGTTGTGTATCATCAGCCTGTGCTACCTTCTGCTGGTGCGCTTCATCTCCGACGGCCGCGTGGCTGGGACCGAAGGAGGAGCCTCAGCGGCCGGGGGCGGCCTGGCCGCAGCCAGCGCCCGTAGACGGTCCAAAGTCACCAAGTCAGTGACCATCGTGGTCCTATCTTTCTTTCTGTGTTGGCTGCCCAACCAGGCGCTCACCACCTGGAGCATCCTCATCAAGTTCAACGCGGTGCCCTTCAGCCAAGAGTATTTCCTGTGCCAGGTATACGCGTTCCCGGTGAGCGTGTGCCTGGCTCACTCCAACAGCTGTCTCAACCCCATCCTCTACTGCCTGGTGCGCCGCGAATTCCGCAAAGCGCTCAAGAATCTACTGTGGCGCATCGCGTCGCCTTCCCTCACCAGCATGCGCCCTTTCACGGCCACCACCAAGCCAGAGCCCGAGGATCAGGGGCTGCAGGCCCTGGCACCTCTCCACCGGACCGCGGAGCCTGACCTGGTCTACTACCCGCCCGGCGTGGTGGTCTACAGTGGGGGGCACTACGACCTGCTGCCCAGCAGCTCCGCCTACTGACTCGGGCCCATGGGGCACAGTCGCTGCAAAGTGGCCTTCCCCGAGTGGGGAAAGGGATTAGGAGATGCTGGGGGCCCACGGGATCGAGAGGTAGGAGGGACCAGGATAGGGAAAGGCGTGAAGGAGCAGCCTGTGAAAAGGCGGGGGAGGGGAGGCTGTCCGCGGAGAGGGAAGGCTTCCAAACCGGGTGGAGAGAGGACGCTGGCAAAGGGGCCGAGGTCAACCTCACAGGGCCAAGCCACCAGCCTGCGTCCCCTTCTCCCCACATACGCCTCTTCCTCCCTTAAGCTCTCAACACTGGGCGGGGGTGGGGGGCGCCCAGAAGCAGGAAAGGAATCAAGAACGTAGAGAAATTGGGGCACGAGGAAGTGGGGCTCAGCCAAAGGTGCGCAGATAATTGAACGCATTTATTCCAGCCACTTTTATGGAGCTCTTGAAGGGATCGTCAAAGTACATCCAACCGCGCAGGAGCCGCCTACAAAACCTTTCCTTTGAGCCTTGGCACGCGAGACCGCCACAGCGCCATCTGACTCGCTGCGTGGCTGCCCAGGAGACCTAGTTTGCGAGTAAGAAACTTCTTCGGAGTCGAAAGAAAGTAGTGACCACCCCGATCCGCCCTCCAGAGAAAGGCACCGCGAGAGGGGCACCTCCCAGGGGGGCATTGTATCGTTTATCATCCCGGACAGAGCGAGTGGCTCTGCGGGAGCCGGACCGCGACTCTGCGCTTAGGTGTCACCCGAGGCAAAATACTTGTCTCCAACACGCGCTATCGATTCGCTGGGGAGTGGCCTCACTGCGGGAGGGAGCGGATGCAGTGTGATGAGAGGGACTGAATAGAGACCTCTTCGGGCCACCGCCTCTAAAGGAAAAGGGGAGCTGACGTGCTCACTTGGTGACCGAGTAGGAAATGAGTGCGCCAGGCGCTGGCAGCCGTGACGTCCGGGTTCCCCGGAGAGCGGAGGGGTGCCTGGAAACACTGCACGCTGCAGGTGAGCTGTGCCCTGGAGCAACTTGACAAGGTCTGAGTATACAGGCCTGGGAGTGGGGGCGTCTCTGCAGCGCCCCCCCCGCCCAGCCCTCACTCTTCGCGAATCGGATGTCCCTTTGATAGCGGCTTGGGACCAATCAGTAGAGGGATGGCTCCGCCAGAGTTTTTGTAGGCTTAGATAGAAAACTAAGAGATGCTGTAGAAATGTGCAGGGGCAGGGGAAAAGGGGGGGGGCGCTCCGGGAAACCAAATTCCTAGAACCAAATTTCAACAGGAGGGGTGGGGTGGGAAAGGGAACGGAAGACTCAAGTAAAATCTGTCCTAAAGGGAAGAGAGTACAGAGAGCGTGTTCTAAGGGGATCCCCAGAATTTCTGGTGTGGGGTTCTCTCTTTCTCATGATATGGAGAGGACAAAGTAGGGAGTAAGACTTCCCATAGGACACACCTTAACCAAGTTCCATTTACTCTAAGCAGTGCTCTGCACAGTGAATGAGTATTATGAATTCTTCTGGAACCCCCCAGGCAATCTAGGGAACCATCTCTGAAGAGTGACATGTTTCTTATGACAATTCTGTTCTGGCCACAGCAGTTTAATCCTTTCTTGAGGATGCTTAGAGAATGGGGATCAAATATCAGTCTATCCACCCAACTGCTAGTTTTGACAGAGGTGCTACTGTTCTCTTTGGCGATCTAGCTTGGGGTAAAACAGCAACAACAACAAGAAAAACCCAGCAATGTGGGCATCTACTGGTGTGGTTATTTTAATACAATAAATAATCATTATACAAACATGTCTGTTTAAGTAACTTCTCAAACTGTAAATCTTTTTGTAATTTTGTTGGAAATGTATGTATATTGTCTGAGATTTAAGGGTAAGTGTGACCATCTACAGCCCTAGCATCCCTTATCCTGCTTTCTGTGACACAACACAATGCAATTACTAAGCATTCATACCTTTGCCACAAAAACAAAAGCTTCCTGATTTCCTCAATCCTGAGCAGTCTTGAGAAGTTAACTTTTTTAGAAAACAGAATAATGCTTTTGTTTTAAAGCAGTCAAATTAGGGACCCACCCATGGCTGGCTCAGTCGGTAGAGTATGTGACTTTTGATCTCTGGTTCCTAAGTTCAAGCCCCATCTTGGGTATAGGGTTTACTTTAAAACATAAATATATAAAGTAGTCAAATTAGTCTTTCTTTGCCCTTTAGGAAGAAAAATTATTGATACAGATATTAAATAGCAATTGGGCTAATAAAAATTGAACTGCAGGGCGTCTGGGTGGCTCAGTGAGTTAAGTCTCTGCCTTTGGCTCAGGTCATGATCCCAGGGTTCTGGGATTGAGTCCAATATTGGGCTCCCTGCTCCACAGAGAGCCTTCTTCTCTCTCTCCCTTTGCCCCTCTCCCTGCTCGTGCTCTCTCTCTCTCTCAAATAAATAAATAAAATCTTTTTAAAAAATTGAACTGCAAGCCCCTCCAAGTCCCCAAAACAAACATGCAAGTGAACACCCAGAAAGAACAAAGAGTAGTAGCTTGGCATTGTATCCATGTATAATGTTGATATTAGACTCTTATTGAGAGATTCTCTTTATCAAAGGAACTCGCCATTTCAATTCTGACAATAAAATACTGTGTTGGTAGCTTGGGGTTTTTAGGAAAGTTGTTGAAGTGTGTGCTTCTGCTGTGATGGACACTAGAAAAATGGAAGGAGCTAGGGACAAGGCCTTCATGAAAGAATACTGTGAAAAGAATCAACTGGTCCCCATCTGAACCTGAGGGCTTGTGAGAACATGGCTGGAGGGAGCAAAAACCATGACTTCTGTCTACCACAAAGACAAAAAAATGAACTAGGCAATGGCCACATTTTTTTTTTTTGAGTGCCAGTTGCATGCCAAGCCCTGTACTGGGTGCTGAGATGGCATATACCAGCTGGACACACTACTGACTTTTACATCTAGAAGGAGACACAGCCATGTCCGCAAGGTAAGTAAGTCGTGGAACAGTGAGTTGAATGTCATAGCAAGGCCTAAAAGAAGTGCTATGGGAATATAAGGGATAGAAAGCCTGGCTCTGCTGAGGAGGCGGGGCAGTCAGAGACTTCCTCACCAAAATAGTACTTGAGATGGACCTAGAAATATGGGTACAATTTAGATGGGCAGGAATGCCCGTTTAGACAGGCGGTGGGGACATAGAGGACATTTGAAGCTGAGGAAAAGCAATGATTAAAGGTTTGAGATTGGCACACCAATGCTGCATGGTGAGGGAAGCAGGAAGCAAAGCAGTTTGGCTTCCTTTTCTTCTACAGAATTTTCCGGGATTTCTGTTCAGAATTTAGGTGTCCCCGTATTTGTTTTGTCTGGGAATGGAACATTTTTGTCCCAGAGAGAACATGCCATTGGTATACTGAGAACAATTACTTGAGTTCCCAAAGGTGGTTAAAGGCTTTTAAAATTGGCTTCTATCCACTCGTTCAAACCTCAGTGGAGTCGAGTTGAAAGAGCTGAGTGTTTATTTGAATATTTGAGTGTGTGTGAGTGCATATGTATAGGGGGGTTAGGGGGCGCATGCTCTAGGGCCTTTCTTCATGCCAGCAACCCATCCAGTACTCCAGCTGAAAAGAGCTTCACTCATAATAAAGACCACGCCCTGTGGTTGGCCAAAGATGACGACTTTTAACTTCTTGGAGTCCAGGTAAGATGGTCCTCAGCTGCAGGTCACCCTCCTAGCTCACCCATTCATTGATTTCAAAATCTTCAACCACCAGAACACTCTTTGGAGAAATGATCAGGAAATAAACATTGAACTCTGCAAATAATTCCGTTTTTAAACCTTACAGAGGCCAAGGACAGGTGGGTAAAGCAAGGGAGGTAGCTCGGTGTTGTTTCTTTTATAAATGTAGGGTACTGAGTTACCTGGCGTCCTCTGAGCATTTGCTCATCATCATCCCACACTTACGGGAAAGGGAGCAGGTATTGATTGTCCCTGATTGTTCCTCTAACTCAGTCATGACCTTGCAGGTCTAGGATAGATAATGTGATGGAGAGGGAGGAAGGCAGACTGGGGAAGATGGAGTGGTTTTGAGTGTTGACTGTCTCATGCAATTTATTGAATACTGTACTGAAAGGGGAAAAAAACAGCAGAGCTATATGGGGACAGAATGGTCGTCAATGTACCAAGTTGTTCTCCTTTGTGATCGTGAGGCTGACTGGGAGCTGGGTTGTCACTACCTGGCATCATGAGAGAGGATCATACTGCATATCACCCAGAAGAGATCAAAATTCAAAATTTGAAATATGGGTTTCTACTGAATGCGCATTGCTTCCCAACTATCATAAAGTAAAAAAAAAAAAAAAATTGTTAAGTCGAACCATTGTAAGTCAGGGACTATCTGTCTACATGAGCAAATTAAATATAAATTAAATTTGAGTAAATTAATTATCATAAAATAAATCAGCAGTATTTTGAGTATTGGTGAATTAATGAAAAATATGACCCTCTGACAAAATATGGACCTCTGATTAAAAAAAAAACACACACGATAGAATAAACCCAATTTGTCAGGTGTAGAACCAGTCTGCTTCTCGAGTTTTGTCAAGGCCAGAAATAGCCTGAGATGGAGGCGCTCTCTCCCACACTCAACCTTTGCCCCAGTGAATGGAGGCAGAGCCCAATCTTTTCTAAGATAAATGATGCCCGAAACCTGGAGACTGTTGTGCAGAGAGCTGGCAGAAAGTGAGGTGTGGGCAGACCGCTGAGGCTGAGGTCTTATCACAGGGCATCCAATGGGCAGATCCTAAAACTGCGGAGCCAGAAAAGAGACTGATTTCCTGCCATGGACTTCCCTGTGTCTAGGGAAGGGACAATGTTTATTGACCTAATCCACGTATCTAACAAAGAGAGCCACAAAACAGGAGCCGATCAGCGCCAACGCAGAGGCCGTGATCACCACGATGACGCTCCCAGCCTTGCTGACCAGAAAGCCCAGGCCACCTCCAACCAGGATCTGAGCCAGCTG